CTTGTTACGAATGACACCACGGACCCACCACCCCACCTTGCCCGCGCCCGGTTCACCGGTGATAATTTGGATCGAAAGTTTAGCGTGCCGCAGGTAGATGGCGGCACGGTCCTCCCGGGTCTAGCGTGGCCCTCTCTCGCCAGTTGCCAGCTGGCTTAACCCTCGCCCCGTTGGGGGGGGGGCATTTTGGCCCCCCTCCTGTGGTTTTTCCTGAATAGCGAGACAACGGCGGCGCGCAGCGCCGCCAAATTTTTAGTACCTTCCCGGGCATCAATTTGACACCTTCACACAAAATGTCAAGTCTTAGGTCACCTTAGGTCAGGAGTTATTGAGGTCAAACTGAGGTCATGTTCGAGCAAAAATGAGCAAAAAACATGCAATCTTGAAACGCTCACCAAATCTACAGTTATCAAGCAATTTCAAAGTTCTTTAAATGTTCTAGTAGACAAAAAGCGGTGCTACAAAACTGCTATCTCGGATTTTCAAAAAGTTGGGATTTTGACCCCCCAAAATTTTAAAAAATTGATTTTTTTTAGAAAAAAACTAAAAAAAACAATTTTTTTTCCCGAATTTCGAAAAAAACGGAATATATGTGATAGTCTCTGCGCTCTGCTATATACATACTAAATTTCAGATCGATATCTCGTTTTTTGGCTAAGTTATAGCAAAAAACTGTTCAAAAATAATAACGTCAAATTTTTAAACTCAATTTTTAGCGATTCTAGACCACGTACGGCAAAACAAAGACCACCATTGAGCTCCCCGTGACAAGCTGCATCGATTCAATACCCATTTTATGCAAAAATATTAGCTTTGAAATTTGACCTAATTTGACCTGACCTTTTTAAAAAATTTTAAATAAATTTAGTCCGAACCTTTTGATGGGAAGGATTCACAAGGACAGAGCCACCGCTAAGCGAAGCTTGTTGCGATGACCCTGCCCTCTACCCTCCGATCGCGCAATTCCGATTCTATGGCAGAATTTAGAGTCCAAAGTTGTATGTGCGCACAAAGCCGCGCACGGCCGGTCCCCTCGCTGACTTCGCCTGGCTACGGCCTGCCACCAACCGCAACCATACCTGTCAGGAGGCCCATAAATGTCGAGCGCCCGTCGCGCTTCGAACCCGGACTGTCATAACCGGGAACGCGTGCTCTCACCACGCGGAGTCCAACGCTCTAACCAACTGAGCTACGGGACCGGCAACGGGACCTTGACCTGACCTTGACCAAAACGTGTCCTAAGCTGGCCCCAAAGGCTGCCTGACCCACATAATCGCATTTGTCATGTAAAATGGATCATAAAACATGTATCACACGACACTTTCATATTGTGACCCCCCAGTGACCTGACCTCTGTGACCTGACCTGGTATCAGTGACCTCAAATAGCAAAATTTGAGTTTGAAGAACATTTCCCCATCGATGATATTCAATGAAATGCATTTTACTCGGTTTTACAACGCATTTCTTGAAATGCCTGTAAACGGTGAAAATTGGACCTTTGACCTGACCTGTGACGTCATCGGTTTGACCTAGGTCAATAAAATTGGGTCACAAGGTAGTTCCCTGATAGGGCTATCCAACACCGTTTGCCCCTTTGCCCCCTTGTGGTTTTTCGCGAAGATCTCAAAACCGGCGGCGCGGAGCGCCGCCGTTTTTAGTACACCTTATCATACATCAATTCTACACATGTGAAAATTTCAGACCAAGGTCATTCAAGGTCAGTTCACCAGGTCACTTGAAGTGACCTTACTTCATAAAAAGTTTCAATGTCTGCCATAGCTATACCGAGTGACCGATTGCTTTGAAACTTTCAGCGATTGCTAAGACCAATAGCATGTACAAAATGTACATATATCTCATAATTTTGATATCGATGACCTAAGGTCAGGTGAATTTTGCGACTTCCCCATTATAAACTCCCAAACACTGAATTACAAGTGGTTTAGACACAATGAACATGAAAATGGTGTCCGTGACCCCTGTTTATGTCCTGAGGTCATCTTAGGTCACGAATGGTATCTAACAGTTTTTCGCAAATAACTTTTGATAGAGGCATGCTAGAGCGATAAAAACGCTCAGATGTGTTCAGCTCGACGACACGGATCGACTGGTATGCAGCATAACCCTTTCCGGTCAGGTCATGACCTTGACCTGAGGTCAAATTTTCAAGTTGACCTTTCAAGGTCAAGTTACAGTTCATTCGATGCGTCTTGACAAGCGGAACACGATGCCGGTAAAAGTAAGCTCGTACAAGGCTTGGGTCAAAAGTTATTGCAGAAAAACTGTTTCGGAAAAAATCAGCTATTTTTGCAGTTTCTGCCCCTGCGGGCAAAACCGTTGACGTTAGGTTCAAATCTGAGAGAATTACTCAGAAAGGGCGTTAATAGTGCTATCGAATGCGCTTTTCCGCGGCGTTGTAGCTCTATTTTTTCCTGAGTTATGCGTTGGCTTCTTGGAAATTGTCGACATTCGACCTGGAAATCGGCGAAATTTTGCCTTCAATGACCTCTGGTGACCTGACCTTTGACCTGACCAAAAAATTAACTGAAGTGATTTCGTCATTATTTTTGACGCTTTTTCGAACGCCGCCTTCCGCGTATCGCTACGTGGCCCAGGAGCCGATTTAGAAGGGGGTGTTCAAACACCCCCCCCCCCCCCAGCAGGGCGTGGAAATCCAGGACCCCCAGCCGGGCGCGGGTTCATTAACCCGCGCGGGGCTGGGGGGGCTAAATTTTACCCCCCCTCGCGAATTTTTGCGATATCTCAACAACGGCGGCGCGCAGCGCCGCCAAACTTTCAGTACCTTTTCTTACATCAATTTGACACGTTTCCTGAAAATTTGAGCGAAATCCGTCGGAAAATTTTTTAGAAATTGACGTTTTAGTGACGTCATGTTCGCCATTTTCGCCTCAAAAACGGCAAAAGTTCAAACGCCGCTAACATCTTCATTTTTAAAGGAATCAAGACGTAACAAAAAAGGTTATACGTAATTTTACTTTGTCTATCAAATGGCTATCTCGGTTTTTTGAAAATTTTGGATTTTGGCCTAAATTTTTTCAAAAAAACTGAGTTTTTTGGGACAATCATTATAAAATCCAAAAATTTGAGTCTATCGAAAAAACCGGAATATATGTCAGAGAAGTGGTCTATGTGCACCTACATACCAAATTTTAGAAGAATCGGTTCAAAAATGTGGGAGTTATTCAAAATTTTATGACGTCACGACACACAATTTTTTTTGAAAAATGACTTTTTTGGAAGTTCTAGACCTCGTACGGAAACAAAAATAGCACCATTCGATTCGCCGTGAAAAACTGCATCAGATGTTCACCTTTTTAGGCCTTAACAACCAACTTCAAAATTTGACCTCACTTGACCTGACCTTGACCTGACCTCGACCTGAAATTCATCCAGAGGTGGTCCATATCACTTATTGAGTGTGCCTATTGAATTCTATGAGTAAAATGACCCATAAAACATGTGTCGCACATGCCCTTTTCTATATTTTGTTTTTTGGTGACCTGACCTGACCTGACTTGACCTTGACCTTGACCTCTGAATGATATTGTATGCAACGAATATTGTCTTGGTAGCCTAAGAACAGGTTTTGGGCGATCAGTCTCAGTCCATGACTCCATTCTTCGGCAACTACGGTGCAAGGCCGATACTGTAGAAACTTGCAATTTGTACCCTTGACCTGACCTTGACCTTGACCTCAAACTTTAAATTAAGTACATGTTTTTAGTAGTTCGTGATGAGAGCTTTCGATTGGCGTTTGAATTTTCCAAATCGGACCATTAGTTCGGGAGATAACAGGGGGGTAAAATTTACCCCCCCCCCCAGCCCCGCGCGTTCGGCTGGAGACCCCAGCCCCGCGCGGGTTAAAGGTAGTGTGCCACCTTTGAAAGATTTCTCATTTTATTTTTCCTAGGATAAGAAGCTTCTGTTTTTACCTAATATCGCAAAAAAAGTCAAAAATGAGCCTGGAATAGTGCCTTTTTCGCCTAAAAGTTTATCGGTTTTTAGATATGTATAACAACTGTAGTGGGCTCACCTGTAAACAGACGTCGGCAACAATCGCGAATGCGGCGCACATGTGACAATGTAAGCAAAGGTCATTATAGTGTTACGACCATACGACGTACGGGAATGAGTTATCAGCTGTCAAATCGTAGACAACACAATGTCGAGCCTTAAACTGTAAGCCTGTATTGGTATTGTTTCTTTTATTTGGCTGTCGAACATTATTTATGGTTTGAAATATGATTTTATGTAAAATAATTGATATGAAAAAGCCGTCTCATAAGTTATGACCCCATTTCACCACACGCAAGTGGCAGAAATGACAATGATCAGCTGACGCATTTTTCTTGGCCGAAGTCAGAGCGCGCAGCCCGACGCACCACCACCGCACCACAAAGTATGAGCAGAAGCCGCGCCCAAAGCCAGGGCCCCGGTAACGTGAGGTAGCCGAGTCGGGGCAGCGTGCGCTGACCCAAGCCGGGGCCGCAGCCTTGGGCGCAGTCTACCGCATCCCCGCGGGCAGCCCCGGGCTATCACATGACACCGGGAGGACGCGCGGCTCCGGCTTGGGTCAGCGCACGCTGCCCTGACTCGGCTACCTCACGTTACCGGGGCCCTGGCTTTGGGCGCGGTCTACCGCACCACCTAACAGGCGTGTTCGAAACCGCAGGAGCTGATGATGAACGGGTTTATCGAAACTTGATTGGATGAGCATATCGGTAATAGCGATTTCAGTGTGTGCATTTATTGTTCATAGTGGTGTGAAATGCGGTTGGGGTACGACCGACAACCCGTCGGGGCGAATTTCGCACTGGGGTACTCCAAATTTGAAGAATTTAAGACGTTTCCATGAGTTTTGAAGGTATGGATAAGTTCTAAAAATCCGGTTCTCCTTATCTGGGCCATTAACTCCATACGGTCCAGGAAAGCTGGCACACTACCTTTAATATCTGTGAGCACCATTCTTCCTCTTACCTGGCCTGTGGACAGAAGGTGGTGGCCCAGTCCAATGCCATGATGTGCTTGTAGGTGAGGTTGTGGTAGGAGTCGTGGAAGTCTCCCTGCACTATGTCGTGATAAAGAGCGCTCTCTGCCGCCATCGCGAACTGTGGGGAAACTACATGTCACTCAATAAATAAAAAAGCCATGGCTTTGACAAGAGGACACAAATACTATAAGCCGCTAGCGATTGAAATGTAGCACGCCAACCCGGCCGGGCCCGGAGGGTAATCCCTCCCACCGCAGCCCGGGGGTGGCGTTTTTCGCCCGACCCTCTGTCTAGTGTCTACCTCCGTAAACAAGGGAGATACAGAAGCAAAGCGGCAACAAACGAAAGGTTTTTACAAGAAGATTATAAAACGCCTAATTTTTTACCTCAGGTCGAGATTCAAGGTCAGAAGTCAGGGCGAAGACTCAAAAAAAAAAATCGGCGTATTTATAGTGATATCAAAATAAGTGTTCTACAGGACCGCAGGATGCATAAAACCCTAAAAATAGTGTGAAAGGAATGAAGGTAATCTGAGGATTACGATGATGTCCTCAACATTCAAGCTCAAAGTCAAGGTCATAGTCAGAACTGACCTCAAACTTTTCTTTTCATACGTCTTTTTTCAAGACGTTTTTAAATGTGTCTAGACTTATCAGGCCCCTGTTTGTGGTTCAGCTTAACCCGCGTACCGACGGGGGGGGGGCGGATATCCGCCCCCCCCCCTGAGTTTTTTCGCGAATAGCGGGAAAACCGAGGGGCTACGCGCCGCGAAATTTTGTACCACTATTCTCTCATCAATTTTACACATGGTGTGCAAGTTTGAACCTCCTAACTTTTAAGGTCAGGTCACCAGGTTACTTTGAATGACCCAACCTCAAGTCACTTTTTTGCAACTTTGTCACCGTGCCAGAGCTACAGTAGATATCGGAGGCCTTTGAAAGTCGCAGGATATTATTAGGTCATTAGTAGCTACAATTTGTTTATTTCGGAATTTTGATATCGGTGACCTAAGGTCAGGTCAATTTCTCGACCTCCCCATTATAAGTCAATGGGGGAAAAATCAACTCCCTGTTTTTACCACTAAAACGGGTCGAAATGGCACCATATACCATACATGACTTCATATACGATCAACCTTCACTACCTTGAGGTCTGTTTTGCTGTTGGGCAGCTGTAAGGTCATGTGACGTTATTAAAGGTCACCAGCGGTTTTTTGCGAATAACTCCGTACAGTAACAAGATACAGCCGCCCGGATGGTCTCATTGTGTTCAGCTCGTCAAGACGCATCGAATGATATACATGATGACCTCGAGGTCACGTGACTTGAGGTCAACCTTTGACCTGGACCTTTCGAGGTCAACATATATATCATTCGATGCGGATTGACGAGAGGATCACGATGGTGCCCTTAGTTTGTTCCTATCTTGACTAGTTCGAAAGTTATTTGAGAAAAACTCTCTCCATATATAGCGCCGCCATTTTGACTTTTTTGACCCCTGTGACGTCATCTTTGACCTGACCTGAAAATGAGACCTTGTCCGTGCGTATCCGATGCCGTTTACCGCTTGTCGCTATCTTGCTTCGTTCTCGAGATCTCAGGGGACGGTCATCCGCCCCGCCCCCCCCCCCCCCCCCGTCGGTACGAAGTTGGCGCAGACCCCCGTCGGTGCGCGGGTTAACCCGCGCACCGACGGGGGGCGGATATCTGCCCCCCACCCTGAGGTTTTTCGCGATGCGCCGCGAAATTGTGTACGACTATTCTCTCATCAATTTTGCACATGGTGTGCAAGTTTGAACCTCCTAACTTTCAAGGTCAGGTCACCAGGTCACTTTGAACGACCCAACCTCAAGTCACTTTTTTGCAAATTTGTCACCGTGCCAGAGCTACAGTAGATGTCGGAGGCCTTTGAAAGTCGCAGGATGTTATTAGGTCATTAGTAGCTACAATTTGTATATCTCGGAATTTTGGTGTCGGTGACCTAAGGTCAGGTCAATTTCGCGACCTCCCCATTATAAGTCGATGGGGGAAAAATCAACTCCCTGTTTTTACCACTAAAACGGGTCGGAATGGCCCCATATACCACACATGACTTCATATACGATCAACCTTCACTACCTTGAGGTCTGTTTTGCTGTTGGGCAGCTGTAAGGTCATGTGACGTCATCAAAGGTCACCAGCGGTTTTTTGCCAATAAATCCGTACAGGAACAAGATACAGCCGCGCGGATGGTCTCATTGTGTTCAGCTCGTCAAGACGCATCGAATGATATACATGATGACCTCGAGGTCACGTGACCTGAGGTCAACCTTTGACCTGGACCTTTCGAGGTCAACATATATATCATTCGATGTGGATTGACGAGAGGATCACGATGCTGCCCTTAGTTTGTTCCTATCTTGACTAATTCGAAAGTTATTCGAGAAAAACTCTCCATATCTAGCGCCGCCATTTTGACTTTTTCGACCCCTGTGACGTCATATTTGACCTGACCTGAAAATCACCTTTGTAAAAATTGTAGACCTTGTCCGTGCGTATCCGATGCCGTTTACCGCTTGTCGCTATCTTGCTTCGTTCTCGAGATCTCAGGGGGCGGTCATCCGCCCCCTCCCCGTTGGTGCGAAGTTGGCGCAAACCCCCGTCGGTGCGCGGGTTAACCCTCGCCGGCACAGGAGGGGGGGGGGGGGTGATACAACCCCTGAGATATTTTGCGAATAACTCGCGTAAAAAGCAGCTGATCGCGACAAAACTTTCAGTACCCTCGCATTGATCCATTTTACACCTACCCTGAAAATTCCATGACCCTGACCCAAATGACCTTTGACCTGTGACCTCTTTTCCGAGACCATTTTTGGTCGGAATCGCGATTCGGCGTATGTCGGCTCGCATTAGCCGCGCGTTTGCAAGCTTTTCGTGGTTTCAAACGTTCAAACATGTGATTTGATGTTGTTCCCATGCATTAGGTCAAGGTCACCTGAAGGTCAGGTCAGGTCACTGACCTTTGGTGACCTCGGTTCACTTTTTCGAGTTTTACATGTTTCTAGGCTACGTTTTGGAGCTGAATTCGAATTTGGCAACCATTTGAACATTTGCTAGTAGTTTTGGTGCCTTCGTAACATGTTACGAAGCTGTCAGAGGCGGATGACAGATACTACGAATACCCGTCACTCACGACCCCTACCGGTTGACCTGACCTGACCTAACCCGACCTGGTCTAAACGCTTAGCGACATCATCTGTGATCAAAACTAACACGATATTCGTGATCAGCAACCCGAAAAACCTCTTAGCAGCCACACTTTACGACTTTATAACAGGTCCCGATATTCCCGATTTTTGGGTCATTGACCTGACCTGGAAGGTCAATCGATGACCTAGGACCTTATTATTGGCTTCCTCTAGTGACGGGCAACACGCTCGTTTTTTCCGCGAAGCTCTAGCACCATCAGGGGCCAAACGCAAGGGGGGTCGTACCACCCCCCCCCCCCGCTGTGCCGTCGAAGGACTCAAAATGGCCTGTGCCAGCGAGGGTAAACCCGCGCCCTGCTGGGGGGCGGGGGTGTTTGAACACCCCCTTGTGTTTTTTTTGCGAATATTTCAAAAACTTTGTACACCTTACCATACATCAATTCTACACATGTTGTGAAAATTTCAGACCAAGGTCATTCAAGTTCAGGTCACCAGGTCACTTGAAGTGACCTCACCTCATAAAAAGTTTCAATGTCTGCCATAGCTACACCGAGTGACTGATCGCTTTGAAACTTTCAGCGATTGATAAGGGTAACAGTATCTATCAAATGTATATCTCGGAATTTTCATACCGGTGACCTAAGGTCAGGTCAATTTTGCGACCTCCCCATTATAAGTCAATGGGAGAAAATTGAAATGCGCCTCTTTTGGACGAAAGACATTATAAACACTCCCAAACACTGAATTACAAGTGGTTTAGACACACTGAACATGAAAATGGTGTCCGTGATCCCTATTTATGCCCCTGAGGTCATCTCAGGTCACGAATGGTGTCTAACAGTTTTTCGCAAATAACTTTTGATAGAGGCATGCTAGAGCGGTGAAAACGCCTTAGATGTGCTCAGCTCGACGATACGGATCGACTGATATGCAACATGACCCTTTCCGGTCAGGTCATGACCTTGACCTGAGGTCAAATTTTCAAGTTGACCTTTCAAGGTCAAGTTATAGTTCATTCGATGCGTCTTGACGAGAGGAACACGATGCCGGTAAAAGTAAGCTCGTACAAGTCTTGGGTCAAAAGTTATTGCAGAAAACTGTTTCCGAAAAAAATCGGCTATTTTTGCACTTTTTGCCCCCTGCAGGCAAAACCGTTGACGTTAGGTTAAATCTGAGAAAATTATTCAGAAAGGGCGTTAATAGGGCAATCGAATGCGCTTTTCCGCGGCGCTGTAGCTTTATTAGTTCCCGAGTTATGCGTTGGCTTCCTGGAAATTGTTGACATTCGACCTGAAATTCGGCGAAATTTTGCCTTCAACGACCTCTGGTGATCTGACCTTTGACCTGACCAAAAAGCGACCAAGTGATTTTGTCATTATTTTTGGCGCTCTTTCGAACACCGCCTTCCGCGTATCGCTACGTGGCCCAGGAGCCGGGTTAGAAGGGGGGTGTTCAAACCCCCCCCCCCCAGCAGGGCGTGGAAATCCAGGACCCCCAGCCGGGCGCGGGTTAAAGGAATCAAGACGTAACAAAAAGGTTATACGTGATTTTACTTTGTCTATCAAATGGCTATCTCACTTTTAAACTTTGGGATTTTCCCCATTTTTTTCTAAAAATAGTTTTTTTTGGAAAATGAATATAAAATCCAAAATTTTAAGTGTATCGAAAAAACAGAATGCATGTCAGAGAAGTGGTCTACATGTGCACATCCATACTAATTTTTAGAAGAATCGGTAAAAAATGTGGGAGTTATTAAAAATTTTATGACGTCACGACACATAATCTTTTTGAATGATTTTTTTTGAAGTTCTTGTCCTCGCAAGGAAACAAAAAATATCACCATTCGATTCGGCTTGAAAAACTGCATCAGATAGATACCTTTTTAAGTCTTAACAACCAACTTTGAAAATTGACCTCACTCGACCTGACCTTGACCTGACCTTGACCTGAAATTCATCCAGATGTGGTCCATATCACTTATTGAGTGTGCCTATTGAATTCTATGAATAAAATGATCCATAAAACATGTGTCGCACATGCCCTTTTCTATGTTTCGTTTTTGGTGACCTGACCTTGACCTTGACCTTTGCATGATATTGCATGCAACGAATATTGTCTTGGTAGCCTAAGAACACGTTTCGGGCAATCAGTCTCAGTCCATTCTTCGACAACTACGGTGCAAGGCCGATACTGTAAAACATGCATTTTGTACCCTTGACCTGACCTTGACCTGACCTTCGACCTACTTAAGCAAAAAAAGGCCCTTAACCTGCGACCGGCCGGGAGGGGTGTTTGAACACCCTCCCCCTGCGGTTTTTCACAGATATTTAACAAAATGGCGGCGGGGAGCGCCGCCGTAGTTTTGTTTCACCGACTGTGCTCAGTGCTGTATGATTTTTCCCGTGTACCAAATTCATAGCATGCTATAATTTATAGCTACAAATGTATGTATGACGTCGTTTTTTACGCTTGAGCAAACAAGGCAATTCTCACTCGCGATATGGTGGTCTCATTCACACTCAGCCTGGTGGACGCCTCAGCCAGCATAAAGGCACGTCTCAGACCGAGTTGGGCCAGCTCGGCTGCCGGCAGCGAGTCCCTGATGGCCTGGCGCACCTCCGGGCGGCGCGGGTCCGAGTGGACCACGATCACGGCCCGCACCTGCTCCCCGCCACCACACACGGGACTGTTCAGCAGGTACTGGTACCGGCCGTACTGCGGCAGTACGGCGGCGCCCGGGCGCGGCTCCGGAACGCCCCAGCAGCCGGCTGGGAGCTCCATCTGAGAAGCCTGGTGCACGACCTGCTGGGCCACCAGCAGCAGCATCAGCAGCGAGCAGCAGAAGGTCAGCAGCAGACGCCGACGGAATGCGATCGGCGCCATCATGGCGCCGTCAGAGGCTGGCTCTCTGAAGTAGTGATAGCTGGTGGACAGAATCAGAGTCAGAACTAGAATGTTATTTCATGTCAAAACCACATGCAACTCTCAACACTTGATAAGAGCAACAAAATGTACATATTTGTTCACATCCGAATTTCGATATATGTGAACTAAGGTCAGGTCAATTTTGCGACCTTTCTATCTAAAGTCAATTAGATAGAACCCCCCCGCGCCCTGCTGGGGGGTGTTTTAACCCTCGCCCGTAAACGGCGATCTGCCACCTTCGCCCATGCAGGGGGGGGGGGGTTGGTGCGACCCCCCCTTGGCGTTTGAAAACGGAGCGTCGTAGAGCTTAGCAGAAAAGACCAACGGATTGCTCTCGCCGAGATCTCGCGATTGGTGGTATATTTTTTGGTCCTAGGTCAACATTTGACCTACTTTTGACCGGTCAAAGGTCAAATTTTCGGAAAAATAGACTTTTTTCAACTTTCCGCGGCGATTGCGGCAAAACGAAGGGAGATATCGACTTGAAACCTTCACTATCGTGTTCCTTGATCAATTCTCTATCGTTTGGTATGTATTTCGTTTCCCTAGCTCTAAAAACGGCGCGTTGGGAGCGCCGGAAGTCGGCAAGGTCACAGTCGGCGGCAGAAATTCGAAAAATCAAAATTTAAATTTTTGAAATCTGATTGTATTTTTAGATTAGGAAGGTCCATTTGCTCCCTATAGAAGCTAATATTGCTGCATATTCCCATTGAGGTGACAAGAATTAGCAAAATAGTGGTTCGGGCGCTTTTCAAAAATAGTACCGGACGCTGTTCCTCTTGTGACGTCATAGCTCCGTGACCTGACCTGACCCGGTCAAGTTTCTTATACCATATGATAGCCAATACTTGCCCCAACATGCATGAGAAGTTTCATCACGATCCATCAACCGATGTCCGTACCACCGGCAGGAAACCTCGGGCGTTGGCACTCAGTTTGTGAAAATCCGGCCGGAGGCTGTTCCCTTTGTGACGTCATAACTCCGTGACCTGACATGACCCGGTCAATTTTTTTTATCAAAAGATGCGCAAGGTTTTCCCCATAAGGTACCCAAAATTTGGCGGCGCTGCGCGCCGCCGTTTTTGCACTATTCCCGAAAAACCTCAGGGGGGGTTGCACCAACCCCCCCTACATGGGCGAGGGTTAACACCCCCCTTGTGACTTTTCGCGAATATCTCAAAAACGGGGGCGCGGAGCGCCGCCGTTTTTGGTACACCTCATCGTACATCAATTCTACACATGTTGTGAAAATTTCAGACCAAGGTCATTCAAGGTCAGGTCACAAGATCACTTGAAGTGACCTCGCCTCATAAAAAGTTTCAATGTCTGTCATAGCTACACCGAGTGACCGATCACTTTGAAACTTTCAGCGCTTGCTAAGAGCAATAGCTTGTACAAAATGTATATCTCAGAATTTTGATATCGATTACCTAAGGTCAGGTCAACTTTGCGACCTCCCCATTATAAGTCAATGGGAGAAAATTGAAATGCGCCTGTTTTGGACAAAAGACATTATAAACACTCCCAAACAACGAATTATTAGTGGTTTAGACACACTGAACATGAAAATGGTGTCCGTGACCCTTGTATATGCCCTGAGGTCATCTTAGGTCACGAATGGTATCTAACAGTTTTTCGCAAATAACTTTTGATAGAGGCATGCTAGAGCGATGAAAACGCCTTAGATGTGTTCAGCTCGACGATACGGATCGACTGATATGCAACATGACCCTTTCCGGTCAGGTCATAACCTTGACCTGAGGTCAAATTTTCAAGTTGACCTTTCAAGGTCAACTTATAATTCATTCGATGCGTCTTGACGAGAGGAACACAATGCCGGTAAAAGTAAGCTCGTACAAGGCTTGGGTCAAAAGTTATTGCAGAAAAACTGTTTCCGAAAAAATCAGCTATTTTTGCAATTTTTGCCCCCTGCAGGCAAAACCGTTGACGTTAGGTCAAATCTGAGAGAATTGCTCAGAAAGGGCTAAAAGGGCTATCGAATGCGCTTTTCTGCGGCGCTGTAGCTCTATTGGTTCTCGAGTTATGCGTTCGCTTCTTGGAAATTTTCGACATTCGACCTGGAAATCGGCGAAATTTTGCCTTCAATGACCTCTGGTGACCTGACCTTTGACCTGACCAAAAAATTGACCGAGGTGATTTCGTCATTATTTTTTACGCTCTTTCGAACGCCGCCTTCTGCGTATCGCTACGTGGCCCAGGAGCCGAGTTACAAGGGGGGGGGGGTGTTCAAACACCCCCCCCCAGCAGGGCATGGAAATCCAGGACCCCAGCCGGGCGCGGGTTAAAAGGGGACTCTTTTGGACGAACGTCAATCTAAACACTTTCGAACACCGAAATAAAACGAAACATGCCACCACCGAACTGAACCGGGAACTGAACTGAATGGTATTCGTCACCCCTCGTTATGTCCCCGAGGATATCTCAGGTCACAAATAGTATCTAATAGAGTTGCAAAATTTCCCTACCGCGCTACCGGCATGCCGGTAATATTTCATTACCGCAGGTTTTTTCGTGGTATCTGGCATGTCTTGCCGGTAGCATGCCGGTATTTTTGATTTTGCACACACACACACAAAAATTATCAGCATATGATTTAAACTTTTGACACTAAGAGGCTATTTCAAACACGCGCCCCACTGGGGGGCTATTTATAGCCCCCCCCCCTCCCGTTTTTCTGCAATAACTTCCAAACCGCTTGACGTATCAACGCTAAACTTTCAATACCTTCGGCTACATCAATTTGACACCTTGTGTCAAAATTTGAACTTCGTACCTACCATAGGTCGGCCGTAAATGACGTCAAAGTGACGTCATGTTCGGCCGATTTCGACGCAAAACATTGAACCACGGCAATCGCTCCCAAGAGCTCAGTTTTTAAGCTAGATCCAATTTCTTTGCATGACAGGACTCAAAATAAACTGCGCTACCAAACTGCCATCTCGGATTTTCGAAATTTTGAAAATTTCGAAAATTTTATATAATAAAATTCAAAATTTATATTTTTTACATTTTTTTTTAATTTTGTTGACTTTCCGAAAAAATGGAATATATGTGATAGAACGCATTATTATGACTAACTCTAGCAAGTTTTAGCTAAATATTTTCAAAAATGGCCAAGTTATACGCATTATTGCAAAAAATTAACAATTATTAATTTTTCAAATCAATTTTTTCAGCACGAAATTGACATCGTACGCCAACATAAATAGCACCATCGTGTTCCTGAGCTCAAACTGCATCCAATAGACACCTTTTTTGTTCAAAAAATTTAACTTCAAAATTTGACCTTTTTGGCCTGAAAGTGACCTCACCTAAGCTAAATTTGACTCAAAATGACCTCGGATGACACAGACGACATCAAATTCGAAATGTTTGGCCTAAATGTACCATAAAACATGTGTCACGTTACCAACGGATGATATAATATTTTCGTGACCTGTGATGACCTGACCTTGACCTGAAAATCAAAGTACAAGTTTGGTACCCTTAGAGTATCTAGAGCATCTGTTCACGAGTGTGTGAACCAAAAATGAGCCTGATCTGACTTGTAAGACGGCGGCCAGAGCCCAAAACGTGAAGAAGCCAAAATGCTAATAATTTTTACTTTGACCTGACCTGTGACGTCATCGGTGACCTCGAGGTCAATGAAATTAAGTTTCGCTCAACAGTTTTCCGGGGCTATCAGACGCCGTTTGAATTTTGACGATCGGCCCAGTAGTTCCGGAGTTAGGAGGGGGCTATGAATAGCCCCCCCCCCCCCCCAGTAGGGCGTGTTATACGCAGACCCCAGTGGGGCGCGGGTTAATTGTAATAACAGCAATCTTAGCCACTGCAAAATACATTTTGTGGTAGAAGTTCCAATGCTAAGGGTAGGGGTAACACATGAACCTCACCATTTCACAGGTTTGGCTCTAAAATTAGAATTGTCAAGAATCTACTGTGGTCTATCAAAGGAAGAATACTCATTCATGTTGCAAAGCACAACCAAATAGTAAGTCTAATGGTAGGTAATAGGTATAATACAATACAATAAATAGATGTTCATGGCAGCATTCCTTCGGCAAAAGGCAGAATCAAAACAACACAAAACACGGAAACTGGCCTTGAGTCCTGAGATGTGGTCTGAGATACTCTACAAATAATTTGACACTGAAAATCCAGCTGAAAAGGCAGGTGTAAGGTAGCCCTGAGCCTAACTTTGGTCACAAAATGAAATGAAAATGAATTAAACTAGCATTTTGTCTTATCTTTGCAAGAAAACACAACATTCAGACAAAATGAATACAAAGTGGCGCAATATGATCTCCAAGGATTGACTTTTAAGATCCTCTGTTCCCTAAAGAAAGGATTAACCCTAGAACGCCTAGGGGGGGTTGTATCAACCCCCCCCCCCTGAGGTTTTTTCGAAGTGCACGCTAAACGGCTTGTCGTAGCGGGCTGAAATTTTCAATACCCTCTGGGGCAACCTTTGCGCATCTTTTGCCGAAAAAAAATGATCGGGTAATGTCAGGTCACAGAGTTATGACGTCATAAGAGGTACAGCCTCCGGCCGGATTTTCACAAACTGAGTGCCAACGCCCGAGGTTTCCTGCCGGTGGTACGGACATCGGTTGATGGATCGTGATGAAACTTCCCATGCATGTTGGGGCAAGTATTGGCTATCATATGGTATAAAAAATTTGACCGGGTCAGGTCAGGTCACGGAGCTATGACGTCACAAGAGGAACAGCGTCCGGTACTATTTTTGAAAAGCGCCCGAACCACTATTTTGCTAATTCTTGTCACCTCAATGGGAATATGCAGCAATATTAGCTTCTATAGGGAGCAAACGGACCTCCCAAATCCAAAAATACGATCAGATTTCAAAAATTTAAATTTTGATTTTTCGAATTTCTGCCGCCGACTGTGACCTTGCCGACTTCCGGCGCTCCCAACGCGCCATTTTTAGAGCTAGGGAAACGAAATACATACCAAACG